TTACCTTATCATATGACTCTGTTTTTACACTTAAATACTCAGGTTTTGGCAGCCAATGCAGAGGAATTATAATTTTTACAGCCTTGAAAAAAAATCTCTGTTTTGTAGCATTGAACAAGTAAGTAGAAGCCTCTTTAACCATGTCCTGGTAGGGAAAGAAAAGAAAAGAGTTACGAATTAAAAATTGAACGGTAGAGGCAATGAGTAGTTTAGCCTTGCCGGGAAAAAAGGGTACATAAAGTAACATTAAATATGTGAAGGCATAGAAAGAAACCAACCTTGGCTAAGGGAAGGGCTGGGACAGATTATTTCCCTCATGGAGCAAGGACAGACCAAATTGTAACTCTGAAAGACTCTGGATTGCTCCTAGAACAGTACAAATATACACCGCCCGTTGCTCAGGGCTTATGATAAAAACCACAATCTATCCCTTAAAATAAAACCTGAAAGAGATCCTTCCAAACATGAAATTTCCTCAAAAAAGTTACATGGGCTTGAGGTGAAGGATGGTTCTGTCCTAGACCAGTCCTTTTAATTAATCTGTAAAGTGTACTGCAGTGCTTGATGAATCAAATACAATTATAAATAGTAAGTAATAACCTGTGGTTTCCTTTTTCTTCTCCCTGTGATTCCTCATTTTTCTGCTCCACCTCTATTAGGTTCTACTTTCTTCCTGCCTCTACAGTGGGCATTACTTTGTCACTATTTTCCTGTTCCCCTCTTCCTTGCTCCTTCCCCACCTCTCCTGAGTAGTTTGGGGGTCACTAGTTAATGGCTATGCCCACCTCAGTTTATTGTTCTCTTTACAGCAAGTGAATGCTCAATGACCAGATCATGTGAACATGGATCAAAGATCTACACTGTGACACTGAGAACTTAAAGAATAACTAAAAACAGAAATATCACTATATATATATATATATACTCACACCAAGGGTTTTTAAGAATATCTGCAAGGACTGGGGGAAAGGAGGGATAAAAGCAAATGGCAAACATTGTAAAGGAGGTGCAGTAATTGGCAATTAAATATCCATGTTCTGGAGATTCTCTAGTCTAAGGTACTCATGTTTTGGAAAGAAGTAATTAAGAAGGAGGTGATACATAGAATCAGCCTGACCCTGAGCCATAATATTCCTGTTAAACTTCAAGAGATGAGTATACTAATTTCATTAACAGCAGCACTTGAATAAAAATTCAAGCTAAGAACCAATTTAGTAACCATAGAATTGATCTAGCTCCCACAAAAATGAAAAATAAATTAAAAAAATCCCTTGACATTAATGGGAGCTGGAACTGGTCTTTTAAGATTACTGCTAATCTAGAGGTAGAAATAACCTGAAAGTCTGAATATCATTGAATGACAAATATACAAATGTTCTTACCTGTATGTTTCTAATGATATTGTGATCTTCTGGTAACTCAGGGTTAATTGCAATAACAATATCCTCATAGCCACCATTTTTCAGCTGTACCATAGAACCTTTCACCACAGGTACTAGAAATAAAAGAACCAAGCTCTTAAACACCCTCATTGTCCCGTTCCCCACAATTTTTTGTTATAAAAATGATGGCACAGCAGCACTATTTATACAATTGCTTATTTACACAGAAGAGATTGTATATTTTATGGCAAGTACCAGTATATACGGATGTGCTGTGTAAATCAAGGTTGCATAACTGCATCCAATCTGATGGTGTCAGGTGATATATTAATACACTAGGGAAATTCCTAAAGCCTGTAATAATCTAAATCTGAACTATTTCCTCATCCATTTCATGCATCCTGAAGTGACCGATGTCGTGTTGTCATGAATATATTATAAATAATTTATAAGGAATTTAAATTTTACAGTATCACAAATCAACTTGCAAACATGGCAGTTCTGAACTTCTATGAGAAAACTCTGATCAGTACAACAGCTATGTACTTAGGCCCTCTCAGAGATCCAGAGAGGCCTGGGCCACTTCCAACTTTTGAGGACCCTAGCCACAATAAAAATAAAAAATGAGGACACATGAAAACAAAATAAGGCAACAAAAAACCGAGTGAGACAATTTGAATTTTTTTTATTTAACAAATGCTTTTCTAGCCTTTTTCTGTGCAAATGCACTAATTATTGAAGAAAAATCTCACTTTCATGCAATGTTACAGTTGATATTAAGCATGGCGTGCCCATTCAAACACTCTTGTCCCATAGCTGAACGTATCAGAGGGGTAGCCGTGTTGGTCTGTATTCACAAAAACAATGAGGTGTCCAGTGGCACCTTAAAGACTAACAGATTTATTTGGGCATAAGCTTTCGTGGGTAAAAAACCCACTTCTTGCATCTGAAGAAGTCGTTTTTTTACCCACGAAAGCTTATGCCCAAATAAATCTGTTAGTCTTTATGGGGCCACCGGACTCATTGTTTTTATAGTTGAACTGTGATAGCTCTTTACCTGCTTCAACACGCTGAGGGTGCGATCATCTGAAGCCACTGATGCAGGTAAACTGACAAAAATGCGCAATGCAATTGTGATATTAGGAAACACCCCAGAGAGTCCAAGTTCGAGTATTTCTTGAAGCTATTCCTTTGGCTTGCAATCCAATTTAAAGTTTGTGGAATATATCCGTTTGAGGAAGATGACCTTGTCACTGAGATCTTTTGACATTTCTTTGTTGTACTGTTGCTGAAATTGTTCAGCTGCAGAAAGTAGATCTTCATTATTCAGCCAAAGAAATCCAAAAAGGGTACAAATTAGTCGCAGTGACTCAAATTGACGTGTAAGACCTGATTGAATACAGTCAATGATGACAAGGAAGACATTGACCCTATAATGCTGCTCGGCATTGGATTCAGTAGGTAAGTTGCGATTGATGGAGAACTCAGATGAAATGCCAATATTCTGTGCTACTAATTTGGCATCCCATTGTTCACGAATCTGTTGAATGTCATTGATAAGACTTTCTAGGTTATCCCTCTCAACAGCAAGTGTAGCATTGCGTGCTTCAACTAACAGATAAATTTGGTGGATCATTGTAAGTAGCTTCATCCACAAAGATAACATCAGAATGCATTCAAATTTGGACACATGCTTCTGAATAGACTGAAGTTCAGTTTGAGCCTGTGCAGTGAGATTGAGAGATTCAAGCTCATTTAAAGCCATTCTCACTGAATTTAAATGCTGCGCAACTGGTTGAACACCATCAATCCATGCAGACCATCTAGTTTTGGACATCCCATACAGTGAAACAGGAAGATATTGCTTCAGAATTTCCCACCTTTGTGGACTGCTACTGAAGAGATTGTACATTTGCTGAACAGTTCCAAAGTAAGTAATTGCTTCCTTGCATGATTCAGCACGGTCAACATCTACAAGGTTTAGTGTGTGGTTTCCACAGCTGGAGAAAATACAGTTTGAATTATGCTCAAGCAGAACTGCCTGTACACCTATGTACTTTCCAGCCATATTAGATCCATTGTCATAGGCTTGACCAATGCAGACTTGAAAATCTAACTTAAAACCTTCTAGAATTGCTAGTACTCTAGCAGCAATTTCTTTTCTAGTTTTTCTTGTGAAATTATCAAACAAAATAAACCTTTCTTCAATTGAAAATTTTGAGCTGTCTACAATCTTAACATATCGAATAAGCATAGTAGCCTGTTCCTTGTGAGAACAATCTGGAGTGGCCTTCATCTTGAGCTGAAAACACACCTAAGGTGTGAGGAAAAATCCTTGCATCTGGCAGCGGGCTAATAATGGAGAGCAAAGAAGAGTCATCAACCTGGATAGTCTTCTATTTCAATGGAAGCATCCTAGAACAATCTGCTGGCTGCAGTTTCCCAATCTGGACCTCAGATGGACTGGAACTAAACAACAAATCACTTGATGAGGGAATTGAAGCTGCTCAGAGGAGTCCCCTGACAGACAGAATGGGAATGTTATAAAAGGATAAATTCTGTTCTGAGGTGGTACTCTTTCATTGGCCACCCAACGAGACAAGACTGGGCTGGAGGAGAGGAAGTGTAAAAGATTCTTGTACTGCCTGGAAGACAATGAAGATGATCCAAAGGACTCACAAGAAGGATGAGGAAACTGAGCAGAGTCTTGCGTGCAGCTGTTTAATATTTTTCCATAGATCTGTATATTGCTTGTGATTGTTTAAAAGTGCTTCTCTATAGTCTGCGTGTCCCTTGTTTTAACTGTCATGAAATCCCTGAAGGGTGAAACACTCATTCTGAGTACCCACAAGGGTGAATCTGGAGAGAGGGCATGCAAGAGCTATTGGGGAGACTAGCTCAGTAAGCTTAAAAGAACATGGGACCCAAGGTTTGGGATCTAATACAGCCTGGTGATCACCCTCATCCGGGGCTATAACATCCAGGTTGTCGTACTTGCCATTTTTGAATATTAGTCTGACATTAGCACACTTCCGGCTCCTGCAATTCCTCAGCCAACTCTTATCAATTTTCTACACTTCATGATTTCTAATTTATACTGATTGTTCTCTACTTCCTCCTCTGCCCTTTGTTATATATTGTTCTTTAATTTCTAACTGCTGCCTTCACTTCCCCTCACAAGCAGCTCGGCCTTTTAATCAAAGTTGTCCTCTATTGTAATTGTTGAATTGGGGCTTTTTGGCCATCTAGTAAACTATTCTTATATTGCTCCCAATTTTCATTCACTTCTGTCCCAATTTTTACTCCCAAGCAATTTCACTCAGAATTTTCCTAAATTGGGGGAAACGAGACCTTTTAAAGCACCAAGTGTATATATTTCTGGTTGGAACGCATCTGTATTTTGGATTAACTTTTCCGCCTCTGGCAGCCCTCCCACTGCTATCCCAGACTGCATTGCATCATACCTGGATTGACCCATCTGTTTACCTGTGTCCTCTGCTGCTCTGGGGTCAGGCTGACCAGATGTCACCTCCCTGTTTAATGCTGACACACAGTCAGGTGCACCCCAGATGTGAGTGCACATTCCCAGAGTCGCATACCCTTCTCAGCATTATAGCAGCCATGTCTCCTACTTCCACATGGACCCATGCAGAGATCATGGATTGCCTTGAGATCTGCATAGATGAGACAGTGCAGTTCTGCCATAACAGCAGCCACTTGATTGCCAAGGTATACAAGGATTTATTGAAGCAAATGACAGAGTGGGGTCACTCCTGGGACAAGTTCCAGTACCGCAACAAGGAAAGGAGCTCCGGCAGTATTGCAGAAAAAACACGGACAACACCAGGACCTCCAGCAATGCTCCCAGCACCTGCCCCACCTATCTACGCTGAGCGGACCTGGATTTTTGCAAAGGAGGCCACCACCAAAACCAGATATTTTGCAGACAGTACCAAAGGCAGCCAAGAGGCTGAGAAACCCAGCCCTGACCAGAACTCTGAGGAGGAGATTTCCCTCAAAAGTCAGGAGGTCTTCCCCACACAAGACACCAAGGCAGAGACAGCATTGGAGTACCTCCTGGAACCCAGCAGACAACTAGCATGGCAGTGTTGGGAGGGGACTGCACTGGCACCTGGAGAATTTAAGATCTTCAGCATTTATTTATCTGAAACACCTCTACCCCGATATAATGCGACCCGATATAACACGAATTCGGATATAACGCGGTAAAGCAGTGCTCCGGGGGGGCGGGGCTGCGCACTCCGGTGGATTAAAGCAAGTTCGATATAACACAATTTCACCTATAACACGGTAAGATTTTTTGGCTCCCAAGGACATGTTATATCGGGGTAGAGGTGTATATCAAATTCCACAGCCATCAGCCAAACCATAATCCCCTTCCTATGTACCTGCTCTCTCCTCATTGATCACCACTCCCCTAATCCCCATGGTTGAGGCTGGTGGCACTGCAGAGGTTAAAAATCACATACATTGTAATACAGGCATGTTTACTGAAATGGCAGAAGCTCATGGGCTGGATCAGAACTTGGTGACTAAGGAGGAAAGCCCAGCAGCTAAGGCCTGGATGGGAGGAGAGTGGACAGGATGTTCCTGATGTGAGGCAAGAAACTAACCTTGAGCTGGAAATTGACTGAGGACTGCAGCCTGCCAGAGGCCGTTGGTAGGAGGGCAGATCTGACCTGGGTACATGCGTTGACCAGAACCCAGCAGCTGGCTGTTAGATAGTGAGAGGGCTGTTGCTGCTGGGAACCTGCCTGTTAGGAAGGTGGTTGAAGGCTGAACCGCGTGGGACTGAAGGCACTGTTGTGTTGATGGTGTATTGGAATGGACTTAGAGACTCTGTTACCCTAGAAGGGGATGAATGCTTTGAAGTGGCTTGGCCAGAAGGCCAAGTTACCTCTATGGCTGGAGCAGGTTGAAGATCATTGTGGGGAAACTGAGGAAGAGTGCTGCAGTGCTGGGTCTTGAATGGGTGTTTTGGGATGGTCAGTCTTGTAACAGAGACCATCACTGCTTCTGAGCCATGGACCTATCTGAAGAAGCGGCAATGTCATGAGGAGATTGCCATGTAGCCCCCTTTGACCTGCTGTACAGCCTCACCTACCAATTTCCACAGTCTTACTTCCCTC